CTAGTCAATGACCCAATATCACCCAGCTGGCTTTCATGCCTAAGGCGGGACTAGAATTCACAGTCTCCTAGTCAATGACCCAATATCACCCAGCTGGCTTTCATGCCTAAGGCGGGACTAGAATTCACAGCCTCCTAGTCAATGACCCAAAATCACCCAGCTGGCTTTCATGCCTAAGGCGGGGCTAGAATTCACAGTCTCCTAGTCAATGACCCAATATCACCCAGCCGGCTTTCATGCCTAAGGCGGGACTAGAATTCACAGTCGCCTAGTCAATGACTCAAAATCAACCAGGCCATTGGTAGACCTGGAGAGGTCATTGCAACTTCGAAGGGCCACTAAGCAACCAGTAGTAAGTCAAGGGCTTCCTTTATTTTGAATCAAAAAGAGTTTGTATGCTACGACAGAATTTTGTGTACGTTCTCTCCTGCTATACTCACTCTGGCAGGCATGAGAATGAGGCGGGCTTGTGAGCCAGAGAAGACTCTCAGTATCACACAGAAGAGAATCTCCTTGGGAAAAGACGTCTTGATAGCCCGGAGAGCAAATCATTTGACATTGCTGAGTTTTTGTGTTTGCAGTGTTGATGTTGCAAAAAACCCCACCGTTGGTCAGGCTAGAAGCGTTATAAGGTAGAGGACACCGTGGACCTGAAAGAACATGGTGAACAAGGTCATTCCAAGGAATGGTCCTACGTATTCAAATCAGCTCTAAGGAGACATTATCTGGGCTATTGGTGGAAGAAGGAAGTGATCACATACAGATAGGCCTTGACGTAGGACCCCAACTGAGACCAAAATTTCTGTCGTTAAGCAAAACAAGGTGTTAAGTGAATTTGGCCCCATTTTACGAGCTTCTCGCCACTGTTGCTAACTGAATCACTGCAGTCGTTAAGTTAGGAACGTGGTTGTTAAGTGAAACTGGCTCCCCCCCCCCATTGACTTTGCTTGTCAGAAGATCACAGCAGGTGATCACACAACTCTGGTATACTGCAGTTTTCATAAATATGAAGCGGTTGGCCAAGCTGAATTTTGACCACATGACTGTGGGGATGCTGCAAACATCGTAAGTCTGAAAAATGGTCATGAGTCCATTTTCAGTGCCATTGTAACTTTGAATGGCCACTGAATGAATTCAGTGCAAGTTGAGGACTAACTGTACTGAGCAAGTATAACAGAGGCCACATGTTGCCCCAAATCCCAGCCTAACGTAAAAACTCTAATGGCAGAAAGTGAAGAAGAACTAAAGAGCCTCTTGATAAGGGTCAATCAATCAATCAGAATAAAGCCTGAAGGGACTTGGACTCTTCTAGTTCTATCCCCTGCTCAACCAGGAGACCCTGTAAATTTCAGATAGGTGGTTGTCCAGTCTCTTCTTAAAAACCTCCAGTGATGAAGCACCTACAACTTCTGAAAGCAAGCTGTTCCACTAGTTAATTGTCCTTACTGTCACGAAATGTCTCCTTAATTCCAGGTTGCTTCTCTCCTTGATTAGTTTCCATCCATTGTTTCTTGTCCTGCCTTCTGGTCCTTTGGCCCCCTCTTTTTGTGGCAGGCCCTCAAATATTGGAGTATTGCTATCATGTCACCCTTAGTCCTTAGAAACTCAACGTTTTTTAAAAAAGGCTAATATCACAGTATCCGGTCCTATCACTTCCTAGCAAACAGAAGGGGAAGAAATGGAAGCAGTTACAATGGCACTGAAAAAAGTGACTTATAACCATTTTTCACACTTACAACCATTGCAGCATCCCCATGGTCATGTGATCACAATACAGATGCTTGGTAAGTGTGAATGCTCCAATACTGGAAATTTTAAAGAAGAGATTGGACAACCATTTGCCTGAAATGGTATAGGGTTTCCTGCCTGAGCACGGGGTTGAACTAGAAGACCTTCAAAGTGCCTTCCATTTCTATTCTATTCTATTCTATTCTATTCTATTCTATTCTATTCTATTCTATTCTATTCTAATTTTTATTCTCTTCTATTCTATTCCATTCTTTATTCTAATTTCTATTCTATTCTATTCTATTCTATTCTAATTTTTATTCTCTTCTATTCTATTCCATTCTTTATTCTAATTTCTATTCTATTCTATTCTATTCTATTCTATTCTATTCTATTCTAATTTTTATTCTCTTCTATTCTATTCCATTCTTTATTCTAATTTCTATTCTATTCTATTCTATTCTATTCTATTCTATTCTATTCTATTCTATTCCATTCCATTCCATTCCATTCCATTCCATTCCATTCCATCCCCCTGGTCCTCGAAGTGTCACTTACGTTCACAGGCAGACCTCTGGCCATTAACTCTTGTCCCTGGTGCCTCCTGACCATTGTCAAAGACACACCAACAGCTTGCTTGGTCTTCACTGCATTGCACTGGAGAGAAACCCTGAGGGTCACTTTCACATTCAGGGATGTAGCCTCTACCAATTTCCCGCACCAGAGCCTTCGACTTCAACAGATTGCAGTAGCTGGGGCCTTCAAAAGAAGAAGCAGATGGTGAAGGACAGGCACAGTCTGAAGCAATAGAGTTGCTGTTTGGTTTGGTGGTAGCAGAGTCTCAGATGTAAGGTCCACGCAGAGAGTGGTAAAGACAGCTGAGAAGATTATAGGAAACTCGCTTCCCATGATTCAGGATACTGCTTATAAGCGCTACATGCTTAGAGCTCAAAGCATTGTTAGAGACCCCACACACCCACTTCACAGTCTGTTTCTGTTGCCCCCCTCTGAGAGGAGGTTTCGAAATATTTCCAGTAGGACTACCAAATTCTGTAACAGTTTTGTTCCCTATGCCAGAAGTCCCCAGTGTCATGGTTCCAACAGATGAAACTCTTCAAAGAACTTCGAGGTATTTTTTACCTTATTTGAGAAGCATAGCATCGGCACTAACACAGTCGAAGCCAAAAGTTGAGTTCCCCTCCCCTGAGCACATAGTATCAAAGCACAATTCCCTCCTCCAATTAACCGTCATAAATCACATTCTCCAATTAGTTTGAAATGCAGGCTTTCCCTCCTGTTCTCCAACCCGCCAATTCTTATCAGCTCTTATTTCAATAACCTTGGTTCACACTAAGTCCAGTATTGTTATGTCTAGCTAAAAACTCTCATGCACATTCCTCCCCCCAGCATCATCTAACTCTAACTCTAAAAGTAAAATATAAGAAGAAAATGGTTGCATCTCCAACTGTTGTCAAAGCAAAACATCCGACGTTAGCAGCGTTGACACCCAACCTTTTGGGCACCAGGGACCGGTTACGTGGAGAGAGGTTTTTCTGAGGACTGAAGAGGGTGTGGTTTTGTGTGCTGACTGCATCCCGCAGATGGGGCTTTGCTTGTTTGTGTGGCCCGGTTGCTGGCATTTTGCAGCCCAGTACTGGTCCACAGACCGGGAGTTGGGGACCCCAGCCCTATGCCATCCATCTCATAAATTCTCAGGATTTTTTTTTCCACCATGTATATGTATACATTCAAACTAGACTGATGTTTCTCTGTGTCGTGTATATGTGGGTATGTGGGTATATGCATAATGGTATTTTTTTTGAGAGCTGAATGCAACGTTTTAATGTATGCTGATTAGCGTACATTTAAAGTGACAATAAAGTTTCTATTCTATTCTGTTCTGTTCTGTTCCGTTCTGTTCTTTTCTCTATTGCAACCATAACAGTTTTACCCACTGAAGTGTTATCAATTCAGGCTTTTATCAAGGAATAATAAATACTCTTTGCTTCATTCTTGTCTCATCTGTCCTCCTAGCCTTTTTTTACATTACAGGTAGTCCTCAACTTACGACCACAATTGAGCCCAACATTTCTGTTGTTAAGTGAGACAATTTTTAAGTGAGTTTTGCCCCATTTTATGACCTTTCGTACTGCAGTAATTAAGTGAATCATTGCAGCTGATAAGTTAGCAACCCGGTTGTTAAGTGACTCTGGCTTCCCCATTGACTTTGCTCATCAGGTGGTCACAAAAGATGATCACGTGACCTCAGGACACGGCAACTGAAATATATCAATATCAAATGTCTGAATTTTGATCACATGACTATGGGGGACACTGCAAAGGACTCGGAACGGTGACAAATGGTCATAAGTCACATTTTTCAGTGCCGTTGTAACTTTGAACGGTCAGTAAACAAACTGTTGAGGACTACCTGCATTAAGGTGGGTTGCACAGTCTGCCAGATGTTTAGACTGGATTTGGCATTTGTATCCACCTATCGAGTCCTTCCCAAAGACCTGGGCTAGGCAGATGTTGTTATCTGATGGTATAAAACGGGTAGGCAACCGTGGCTCTTTTATGACTTGTGGACTTCAACTCCCAGAATTCCTGAGCCAGCATGGCTCAGCTTGGAAACCTTTCCCTTTCCCCTCAGCGTGGCTGGCTCAGGAATTCTGGAGTTGGAGTCCACGAGTCATAAAAGAGCCAAGGTTGCCGACAGTAAAAAGGCCTTTTGCAATTGACTGATGCTGAGTTTGTCAATGCCGAAGGTGCTGCTCCAGATGTTTTGGGATTGCACCCAGGGCCCAATTACTATTGGAACTACCTTTGCTTGCTTTTGCCACAGTCTTTCTACTTCTATTTGCCTAACTTTGTCCTTGACTTACAACCGTCAGTTTAATGACCATTCTAAGTTACAACAGCATTGAAAAAAAAGCAACTTACGACTATGTTTCACACTTACAATCATTGCAGCACCCCCATGGGCACGTGGTCAAAATTCAGACGCTTGGCAACTGACTCAAATTTATGACAGTCACAGGGCCCCAGAATCACGTGATCCCCTTTTGCAACCTTTTGACCACCAAAGTTGTTGTGTTCTTTGTATTCCCCCCCCCCCTTAATCCCCTATGCATATCCTGATCACCCATTAAGGGTGATTGCCCTTCACCATTGATCGCCCATTAAGGGTGATTGCCCTTCACCATTGATCGCCCATTAAGGGTGATTGCCCTTCTCCATCTGCATACAGTTTCATGCCCGTTGCTGGTTGGCTAACTAGCAACAGG